TAAATATAATCTTTAAAATTTTAATATATAAAAGTTTATTAATATTTTGAAAAAAGTTTTATAATAAAGTTTATAAATATGTTTTTAAGAATATATTTTATAACCAAAGTATATTCCATATCATTAATAAATTATTATTTTATTTAAAAAATACTAAATATAATTTAATTTTCTAGGCCAATTTGCCTAGAATATAGTTTAATAGATAGTATATAAATAATAGTTTATAATAGTATAAGCGAATAAGATAATAAAAGTATATAGTACAATATAATGTATTTTATGATTCAATATAAATAAAGGTTGTAAATAAAAGGAAAAAGGCATTAGTCTTTGAGCTAGTACAAATAAGAAACAGTACATTTAGTATAAAGTGTTTATATGCCAAGTAATGATATATGTAATGAAAGTGCTAAACAAGACCTATCAGTTTCTAAAACTGTTTGACTAGATAATGATAGCCACAGCTATCATTTAATCCTGCAATAGAAAAGAACCTGAACAAAGAAGATATCTTTTGCAAAAAAAAAATAAAATAAACTAACAAGTACTTATAAATAAGTAATATGAGATACAAGTTTAAAGAGAGTGTCAACAATAGTTAACAAAATAGCTGAACCAACAATGTGATAGTAGAGATTAAACAAACAACAAAATCAAATTATTAGTAAGGTTATAATTACATATATATCAAGTACCAAAAAAGAAAATAAACACAAACCTTACATAGAAGTGATTGACTATAATGACACAAGATCTAATAAAGCTGTTTTACTATAATCATGAAAATAAAGATATGAAGGACTTTTTCTTTAACTTTGAAATGTATATAGAGTTAAAGCAGTGAGATGATGATCATAAGAAAAAGATTGTAGAGTTACATGTTTCTGATAAAGTAAAGGTCTGAGTGCATGAATTAATAAAAGCTACATTTACTTGGAAAAACCTGAAAGCTGAAATGGTGAAGGTAACAAAAACTAAATACTATGCTAAAGAAAAAGTTGTAAAGTTGATGAAAGTTAAACAAGAAGAAAATGAATCAATAACTGGGTATATCAATAGGTTTAAAACCTTAGCTAAGATTCTAAAAAATAATATGTGAGAATATGAAAAACATAAATAGTATATACGAATTGAGAGATAAATACAGAGCCAAGGTTAAAATGTACTTTTCAACTAATTTTAACAAAGCAAAGAAATTGGCTCTGAAGATATAACATATAGTAAAAACAATAAATATAATATTCAAAGAGCAACTAAAGTATTAATAAAAAAGTTTAATGTAAAAAATAAGTTTGATATAAACAGTCTAACTGCAACAATAAAAGGTTTAAAAATATGTAAAGTTGAGAAAAGCTTTAATAATAATATTCAAAAAATAAAAAATGTTGTAAAAGAGCTCATGTTGGTGGTGAAAGATCTTGTTATCAAGAATATCCTACAATAGTGATATAATTGAAGTATAGCACCTTCACATTGCTTTATATGTTAGAAGGATAAACATATATCATGTGATTGCTCAGATAAGATCTCAAAAAATTAGCTTGTATACAAACCTGAAGATCAATGAAGTAAGGGTAAAAGATCAAAGAATGGCAATATAAACAACCAAGAACCTGATGTCCAACTTGTAGATGTTACTAATAATGTATTAAATAATGATAAAAAATACTTAATAGTTAAATTAGTTAAAGAAGAGCCTGACATAGCTAATATAGAGAATTTGAGCAAAAGAAAAAAGGATGAGTCAATTGTAGAAAAACTCAATAAAAGAAAAAGACTATGTAAAATAATAGAGGTACATTCTGTAAAATCATTTTATACTTATAAGGAAGATAATAGTAATTCAATTATATATATACTTTTAACTAACTTGGCTAAAGATCTTGATGTTTTAAAAACTGTTACTAATTTAAAATTTAATATATCACTTGGACAACTATTTAAATAATTACTAAAGGCTAGGAATGAGATTATGAAAGCTTTAGTATGAAAAAGAAGAGATATTAATATAATGAATATTGATGTTCAATTGCAATATATAAAAGAAAGCAGTATTTTAAGTGGCTCAAATGAAATAGGATCTGTTTGGTCAGTACTGATAAATAGTGAAGTTATAAATGTACTAATTGACTTCAGTTTATACTTAAATTTGATGCATGTGAATTATGCAAAGAAGTGAAAGTTAATATAGCAATTAGCATATAGAAAAGGAAGAATAGCTGACAATAGATTAAGTGAATTTGTAGGATATATACTCCAAGTGAAGGTTAAATTGAAAGATGTAATAACAAGTCAAGATTTCTATATAACAAAATTAGCAAGCTTCAATGTCCTATTGGAAATGCCATAGCTGGCTAGTGCTTATTATAACCTTTACTGAAAAAAGAATGAATATTGGTGTACTGTTTTGTCATTAAATAGGAAATCATTATTTTTTGTTTCAGTTGTATCAAAAAGTTAGATAGGAATAAATGAAAATAAGGAATTAGAAAATACAATGATGCTAAAGATAAAATTAATTATGTTACTGCTATGCAGAGGTTTTTTTTTTTTTTTGCTTTTGCTAAGGCCATAGTTATCGGCAGCTATTACCTTTATTGTATTTTAATTATGATTACATAACTTGTACAAGGTGAGTATACAACTAGTCACACATACAACTTTTGGTTGTCTAATTTAAGTAGTCTGCCTGCAC